TGCTTATCCAGAAAAATCAAAGTTGTATAGATTTTATTATCCTAACCATAGTACTAGAATTATTGAATCTGGAAATGTTAGGGTCATTGACAATGGTGAAGTTAATGGAAGTCTAAAACCACGAAATGTGGAAATACAAGAACTTAGAGTTCAAGTTTATCTACCCTCAACTTCTTCTAGTGTTTTTGTTCCTCAAATTGTTGAACGGTATGAAAATTTGCCAGAACAATAAATAAATGATAAAACATCTCACAATGAAGTTGCAACTAATGAACTTGCACTAAATTAACCACAAGAAATAGAATTAAGAAGGTCAAAAATAAAACATAGACCTACTATTTCTAATTATTATGTGGTTTACCTGCAAGAGTTTGAATTTGACTGTGAATTGTTGATGACGATCTAGTTTCATTTACACAGGCTATTGAGAGTGCTAATTTCAATAAGTGGTTAGATGATATAAAAGATGAGTTGAAGTCTATGGAACATAATGAAGTCTAGGATCTTGTTGAATTACCCGAATCGTGTAAAAGAGTTGGGTACAAATGGGTCTTTAAGATCAAGCGCGACTCTAATGGTAATATCAAATGATATAAAGCTAGACTTGTTGCTAAATGTGTTACTTAGAAAGACGACATTGATTATAATGAGACATTTTCTCCAGTTTCTAAGAAAGACTTACTTAGAATTGTAATGGCTTTAGTAGCCCATTATAACTTAGAACTACATCAAATGAATGTGAAAACCGTCTTTTTAAATGAGAATTTAGATGAAGAAGTTTATATGGATCGGTCTGAAGGTTTTTCAGTTGAAGAAAAGGAACACATGGTGTGTAAATTAAAGAAATCAATATACGAACTTAAACAAGCTTCCCATAAGTGGTATCTCAAGTTCAACGATACCATTACTTCTTTTGGAATTAAAGAAAACATCGTTGATCGATGTATATATCTAAAGGTCAATGGGAGCAAGTTTATATTTTTGATTATGTATGTTGATGAGATTTTGCTTGCTATTAATGATCTTAGTCTACTACACGAGACTAAGAAACTTTTCTCTAAAATTTTGAATTGAAAGATATGGGACAACCAAACTATATGATTGAAAGTTAAATATTTCGATAGGTCATAAGGATTGTTAGGGTTGTCTTAAAAAGCGTACATCAATAAAGTTTTAAAGAGATTTAAGATGAAAAATTGTTCAACGAGTCTCGTTCCAATTCAAAAAGGAGACAAATTTAGTCCCATGCAATGTCCTGAGAACGAATTAGAACATAAACAAATGACAGCTATTCCTTATGCATCTCTTGTGGAGAGCTTAATGTATGTTCAGACTTGTACATGGTACATCAGTTTTGCTATCAGAATGCTGGGCATGTATCAAAGTAACCCAGGACTTGATGATTGGAAAGCTGCAAAGAAAGTGTTAAGACACTTTCAAGTAACAAAAGATCACATGCTCACTTATAGGAGATCAGATAACTTGGAGGTCATTGGATATTCAGATTTAGACTTTGTTGGATATGTGGATATTAGAAAGTCAACATTTGGTTATTTGTTCCTCTTGGTCGGATGGGCTATATGATGGAAAAGTGAGAAGCAATTAGTCATTGCTGCATCCACTATGTAAGTTGAATTTGTGACATGCTTTCAGGCGATGGTTCAAGGAAATTGGTTGTGGAACTTTATTTCAGGGCTTGGAATTGTCGACAAAATTGCCAATCCTTTGAAACTTTATTGTGACAATTCTATAGGATTCTTCTTTTCAAAAAAATGACAAGTACTCTAAATGGGCTAAACACATGTAATTGAAGTACTTTGCCGTTGAAGAAGAAGTTCAAAAACAAAAGTTGTCAATCGAGCATACTAGCACCAATCTTATGATTGTAGATCCACTAACGAAAAATTGCCATCAAAGACATTCAATGAATATGTCGAACGAATTGGCATTATTGGAAATGATCATTGACATTATGAAATTTATGTAATTGACACTTTGGGCTCGTTTATGTATTGTTTTTGACAAAAAATATTATTCTTGTTATAATAGTTAGTATATGTACAGAATGGATCTTATAAATGCTGATAAGGACAATCTTTTCAAAGACATTATTGAAATACAATTATTGAACTTCTCATTACGTGTCATGTTAGGTGGGAACTAATATTGTAGTATATGGAAGGAATTATGCCGAAATGATGGTGTAAAACCACCATGACTCTTATTAGTCTTTACTTAAAAATGATATATTACGTGACCAATGTACGAGGGATTTTAGATTTTCATATCTACATTATGTTATAGATCACATAATGATGTAATATTTACATGAACAAAGTGGAAGAATGTAAGACCAATTAATGTGACCCAAGTAATATTATTAATAAATTAATCTAAATGGTTTATTATTGCTAAAAATCTTATTGGTCCACTGAGAATGACAGTTTAATAACTGTCCACTTTGATGAAAAGTGGGTAGTGTTTTTTATGGCCCATGAAACTGCCTCTCTCTGCTTATAAACGAGAATGAAATCTACCAAATTACAATATTCAATTACAAAGAGGAAAAGAGAGAGAACGTTTTCCTGATTTTACTATTATTTTTTTTTTTTTAGGTTTAAATATTTCAATTATTACTATGGATCAATGTATGTTTCTTGATCAACTAAATTGAAATGTGAAAATCATGAATTCTACGGATCTTGGTATTAGGGTCAATTAATTACTTACAATGTAATGACTGTTTTCCATTGATTTTGATGTGGAAAGACAATTAAAGGCATAATTTATGTTCTTAATTTTTTAGTTACAAACCACGGTTATTTTTCATAAATAGTGATTTTAATAATATTTTATGCCTTTGATCTCCATTATTTTCAAAATACATTTTTCTCACTCGTCTTTCAACTACATATTTTTCAATAAAATAATATTATACGCAAACTCAATATTTTTTCTTTTTTTAAACCTCAAATTATCCATCAATCTACTATTTCAAAATATATTATTAGTCAAATATATGTACACATCTTTTTATAGTATTTAAGGAAATTGTTTGTACTTATAGGGTATATACGATTTTTTTCCCTTATTTAATCCAACTTAAAGAAGCCCAGTAGCCCATTCAATATTAAAAAACTCAGATATATAATACCCAAAGGGAAAAATTCATAAGCAAGAGGATAACTATCACCTATTCCAAAACTAAGAAAACAAGTTTGGAATTTCAAAA